AGTATAATAGTTGATTACTTGATTACATTATGTAAAACCAAACATCATCAATAATTTCATTCCCATTACCCGTCTAAACCAAACACCATCAATGATTATCATTCCCAGTCCCTACCTTCTGGTATCCCCAACCAACAGCCCCCTAAATATGTTGGAGTCTCGCATCGGCTAGACACAGACCATGTAACTTGTACCYATGTATAAAATCTTCCATCTCTTTGTAAGGGCTCTTTTAGAGAGAGATTCAAGGGATTCCACCTATCCCCGCATGGTATCAGATCCAGGGTGTTGTTAGACACGTCCCCTTCTCCTCTATAAATGTTGCAACCTCTCTTCCCTCCTGAAAGGCTCTTTTAGAGAGTAATCTGACGAGGTTCAACATATCTCACAAAATATAAGATTCTTATTATGCATCCATCACAAGTATGTTCATCTGCTAGCTTTAGATTCATTAATTTCTAGGAAAATGGAAAAACTATCATCAGGCTGCAAAACCTGTTTTGAAGATTCATGTGGTCTGCCTATAAGTACATAGTTCAGTGCACTCAGGTCCATAGTTGCACTCTTACATATATGTAACTTTAGATTTGAGTCTGCATCTGTTTGGTTAATAGTTGTATATTTGGAGCCAAAATTAAGGCCACCATTTTGTTATGAAATCAGTTACACGTTGCTATCAAAAAGCAGCATATTGTTCAGTTCTCTAATTTCATGCCCTTTACAGCAGTATTTAGGACTGAAGTTCATCGTGCACTTGACTAATACATTAATAAAGGTCATAGCATTGGCCTTGCATTAATTTAAGATGGTTTTGGATGCAAAACACCGTTGTAACAATAGACAAAACTTAAGTTAGGGCTTTTTACAGTACAAAGATGCTTTTCGCATAAGTTCAAAGCTAGGATAAGGATTAGGAACAACGATTTGTACAAGCATATAGTTTACTAAACAAATAAGCTTCTAGAAGGATGTGTTATCGAGGCCAATCCCAAAATGACAAAAATCAAGAAGACAATAATTAAACCCTAAAACAGAGATAATACAAGAAAGAGAAGGGCRGTTTTCAACTTACAAAAAAGAATTAAAGATCGATTACTACCTACAAGTTGMTTATGCACATAGGACACAGTAGCAAAAGCATTATCAACCGGCAAAAACTGCAGAAGCAATTACCAATTTAGCATAAGTGAAAATAAGTGAGTAGAAAGGCCGTTCACAGCATTCGGCGTTCAGACAGCGGCAGTGAGGGCAGGGACAGGGGCGGATGTAATGGACTCATAGTCGCAGGGCAGATGTGATTGACRACGGGAAGCGGCTGAATGATTTATCCSACTTCCATTAGCATTGGACCCTAAACTTTGTCCATTTAAACCAAAATTGTCCCCAAAATTCWTTTTATTCCAAATTTATCCCCCAATTTCTGCAAATCTTTCTCCCATTAACGGTCGTTATTTTTCTCTTTCTTTTTTTAGTAGATATTCTAAGTTTTTTTTATAGTTTTAGCTGCTTAAATTTATTACTTAAAGTGTATTTCAACACTAAATTTCAAAAGTCGTGATTATCAAAACACGTATAATATTTTCTTGTGTAAAAAATATTTTTTTAAAAACCGGGTTAGGCCGGGACCGGATTTGGTACCAAGATCCTTTATTGCGCCTAGATATGTCCTAGGACTTTTGGTTGAGACTAGGACCAATTTGGGACGGTCCAGGACTGATTTACCATCAAAAAATATACATAGATATATGATGATGTTGTCACAATCTTGTACCAAAATATTTTGTTGGGATAGATTAGCATCTTGAATSCTAGAGAACTCTCAATATTCCTGTTGATTCATTCAATTTACATACCATTCTCTATAATTTATTCCTGTTTAATTGTTAACTCTGAGAGTTTATAGATACCAAATTCTGCCACCAAAAAATGCCTTGTAGCTACGAAATTCGGAGAGTTTATAATTTATTCATGTTTAATTGTTAACTCTGAGAGTTTATAATTTATCCCTGTTTAATTGTTATATTCTTTTTGGTGTTTTGATGTGTAAACCAAAATGAATCACCATTAGATATACTATTTCAAAGAATTAAAGTTCATTTTTTGTTTCTTCTAAAATTTGTAGTCATGGAAGAGTTRAGAAATAATTATCATTTCAGAGCTTTATAGTTTGAAGTATGCATGAGTAGATCTTGTTTAACCTTGGGTCCTTAGTGTCCTCCAGGTTATTCATATGTGAAACAAAACATAAATTAATCAGGTGCTACTAGTTTGATGATGTAAATTAGGATACGATGATATTCTTTATTTCCTTTCCTTTCTAATGCATTATTTAACGAAGTAAAATCAAAATGATAATATACAAAAAAGACTACAAACTCAAAAAAGAAAGTTGAAGGTTCATGTAAATAAAAAAAAAGTAAAATTACGGTTGGTATTGTAATATAATTTTGAATATAGCTAATCATGGATTGGTTTAATGTCTAATGTATACATGTTAATCAAGGATTTAAAGTTCATATTTAATCTATAGTATAGAAGTGCATCGAGTTCATCGGGTTGGGTTGAGTTCAAAAAATCCTGACCCAATTTCAACCCAGTAGATACGAATTGCCTAATTTTATATCAACTATGTGTCGGATTAGCTCGGGTTGAGTTTTTTTTAGGTTTTTTCGGATTGAGTTGGCCGGATTAGTCGGTAGACCTAATAAGCGCTCAATTAAAGACAAACACTTAGGTACAGTTACCCAAACGTTTACCTAATAAGCGTTCAATGGTAAAAGTCAACACTCTCAGTTACTTTACCGGTAAGATTCTAGTTCATCATATGAAACAGTTTACCCGTTAAGCACAAACCAGATAAGAGTCGTCATCCTCACTTACCGGGTAAAATTCTCGTTCTAGTTCATTATATGAAACAATTTACCCGTTAAGTACATGTTAAAAATACATTTACAAGCCAATACTACTAAAATATATAGTTTTAAGGATGAAAATAACCGACAGATATTTCCATCCGAAATCATCTACTATTTTTGACGGAAAGAGGTTGACTTTTTCTTGGGAACTTCAACTTCCTTTTGTAATTCGTGAAAAAGTTTACAAAATTTTTAATTTGATAATATTGATTTAATTTTCGACGGATATTAATTAAATTAGGTTAACTTTAAAAAATTTAATAAAATAAAATATCTTAATTAAATTTTATCGGTAACCTGTTGATAATTTAAGAACTATTAAAAAAAATAAAGAATCTTAATTGTACCGACAAAATTTAGTTAATGATATATTTAATTAAATTCCATCGACAATTTAATTATTAATTTTTATTTATCAGCTAACAATTAACTTATCAACTAGTTTGACAAATCCGATCTTAGTTATTTCACACTTACTAAAATTGATTGTAAATTGAAATGTTTTGAATTAATTTTTTATTTTTTTGAAAATGAATCAATTTTGAGATGAAGTTTTCAAAAATCACATAAATTCCAAATATTAAAAATGAATATTTTAATAATTAAAAGATTCCATATGTATTAATGATTTTTTAACTCATAAATAATATTATATTTGTATTAATTTTAAAAAATGTTTCAAAATGATTGCATTTAACGATGACATCAACAAAAGTTTGGGCCATGCAAACGAATTCAAAAGGTGGTTGTTCTGGTAATTTCTAAACCAAAGTGGCTTTTAGTAAAATTTCCTAAAACCATAGGGATGATTTATGTAATCTACTCAAAATTATAACTTCTCTCCATCTCTATCTTGCCTTGGTATACGTATACGTATCAAATTGTGCTTTGAGTCTACCTGATARATTGTTGTGAGAAACATTGAAGACAACTAGAAAATTAAGCTTAATCATTTGTGATAGATTGTTGTGAGAAACACTGAAGACAAGTAGAGAATTAAGCTTAATCATTTGTGATAGAACTTCTCCACTCAATCGATTCGAAGAGAGGTCAARGTTCTCATCTTYTCAAGATTTGAGAACTGCATTAGAATAGGTCCAGACAACTGATTATGAGACAAGTTCAAAGAGTAAATATGGTTCAACAAATTCTAGTTCTTTTGGGATTTGACYTGTAAGTTTGCTAGAAGATAGATTCAATCCCATCATCAAATCAAGGATGCTACATTTGTAAGCAAGAGAAAGAGCTTTTGTTRTAAACTGAACTTCGTATTGTGTTTCAAAAGTTGTCAAATAACAAGAGATATAACCCATGTTTCTGTCTAGAATGCTCAGATAGACATAAGATGGTGATATTTCTTATATATCTTGCCCGCTTAGTTTGAAAGCAGGGTAAACAAGGGTTCTAATATTTTGTAGGCATCTAGGTATTGAACCAAAAAGAGAGTTACTGGATAAATCTATCAAACTCACATTACTTAGTTGGCACAACTGCATTGGAATAGAACCAATGAAGTTATTCTTTTTTTTTTCTCAAACTAAGAATCTTAAGTTGGATCACCTAAAATTTTAGGTATCCTTCCTCACAAGAAGTTGTTGCTTATGTCCAAAGTTAAAACACCAGTCAAATTACGAAAGGCATTGGGTATTGATCCAGTGAATCTGTTGGAACCCAAATGAAGATACTTTATGACTTGGAAATTTAAGCAAGATGGGATTGGGCTCGAGAAAGAATTTTTTGAGATATCGAGAAACGAGAATGAAGTTGTTCCACAAGGAAACCGACCTTCAAAACCATTATTGCTCACGATAAGTTTAGAGTTGAACCACAAAGGTGGTGTCTGATTGATTTTAAGCTTGGGATCCAAAGGTCAAAAGTGTCTGGAGGTCCCAAGTTCGGATCCAAGGAGGAATAAAAATTCCCTTGTAGACACGAAGGTTCAAATACGGTGACTCCAAGCTACCTGCAAATTGGGTGGTCACCCTGGTATTAGTCGGCTTGCATAGCGAGTTGGATATCCAGGTTAATCAAAAAAAAGTTCAGAGTTGTCCATCATTATGTCGCTTATCCATTGGGGGATCATGCCTATGAAAAAAGATTATTGATAATATCCAAACTCTGCGTATAATTATTCTGAATGGTCCAATTTCCAATTTTCCTTGTGAAATAATTGTTATCTAAGCCAAGCCTCTCATGGTTACCTAAGCTTAAGTTTCTTGAAAGTACCTGGCCATGCAATCTGTTCTTCGATAGTTTCAGTACTCTTATGTAAGAGAGATTTGTAAACAATCCACTTGATACTTCTCCCTAGAACTCATTACCAGATAAATCCAGTGTTCCTAATTCACTCAAATCACTAATTGAAGACGGGATAATACCATCTAAGGAATTTCTGGACAAATTTAAAATCYATATATTGGGAAGGAACATTCGTATATCACCTAAAATARTACCATTTATGTGATTTTCAKAAACATCCAACCATATCGTATTAGCATTCCTATATCATGACATACAAAATAATATGGCTAAGTGAGTCGTTCTTTAGATTGAGAGATTCCAGCATTGTATCATTTTTAATTAACCAATTTGGAAATTATATCACCAAGGAGTTGCGAGACAGGTCAAGTTCCTGTAACTTGTACTGATGAAGTAGAAACCTTGGAACAACACTTCTTTTAGGCTTATCTATGTTGCAACTAGATAGCATAAGAACTTTCAATTGGAACATTGGAGCCCGACCTATAGGCTCTTATGTTTCAACCTCAAATTTGTTATTTTAGGACATGAATCGAACTGCCTCAAGCTTAGTATGATTGGAGAACAAGTTGAATGAGAATGAGCCTTCATATCTATTATTACTAAAATCAACATACTCAAGAGACGTGAGGTTGGTAATCACTAGTGGCACAATTGTTCCCTTAGATCGATTTGAAGAGATATCCAACGGCTGAAGAGATGATAGCCTATTGAAACATTGAGGCTATTTTCCATCAAACATGTTGTGACTAAGATCCAATTCATGGAGGTTCTTCAACTCATATAAACCTGACACAAGAGAAGGAAAAGAAAACCTTTGAGACTAATGAAGACACTTGCATGATCATACAAAACCAGAAAGATCAGCTATGGGAGAATATAATGTTATAAAAAGTGTACACACAGATTTAGCTATAATATATAAACTCTCCAATTATACGGTTGTTTTAAACAATCCAAATGGTTAATCTTTGTATGCTTTAGATAACTTGCCGTGATCGACCGATGAGCCATTGAGGTCTTCGTCAAATCAGAGAAGCTCATGTCATGTTTACTCTTTATGATAGATGAAAGGTCTGCATACATCCCACACTCTACTTTATGTTGGGCCAGTTTAGTTTGGTTTTTAGATAAAATGCCACTTAGCAGGGTTTTTAGAGAAAAGACCTCTTCTTTCAGTATTCTTACCATATCCTTAACAAATGATTTGTGTTTGAGATTGTTCAAACATATATTTCAGATTTTACATTTCAATAAGTTACATAAACTACGAACCACCAATACATAAGTCAGTCTTTAAAAGATAAGAACAACAAATGATATGGGTATAAATATCACTGTATTCCAACTATTATATTTCAAAATTTTTGACCAACTGATCATATTAACTTTGAATTTATGAATGTCATTTGATTTTCAATTTAAAATTACAACAAACTATAAAATTTAGCATCAAGGAACGGAGAATAAAACAGAACATCAAACAACGATTTCCGTTTCGGGCTCTCAGGCTCTAGAAAGATGTTTTGCACAGTATTGTGCATAGGTATATTACTATTTTAATAAAAAGAAAGAGTAAAACTTGAAATTTGGGTAAATATGTAATGAGGCATAGAAAACAATTAATATATGCTGTAGTGAATACGGATATTAATTTCATAATACAAGTCATGTAGTCAATGATCAATTTCCATACATAAGTTTACTCTATTATTGACAACCACAACTTTAATTTGCTTTTCAAAAAGATAAGATAGCATAGCAGCATTACTCACTTCCAAAAGCATTCCTAAATTTCCAACAAAGTTCCAAAATCTCATTTATTTTAGGAACATTGCATAATAGACTCGTAGCTCCTTTTAAGTCAATAGTCATTTGAGTACATATATTCTTCATTGTCAGCCACTCCATCTACTTGCCTCTCCTTGTAAAGATAAGATGACTGAATTCGATTGATGTGTGTATCACTCAATATTTTCTTGACGTTACAACAAATTTTCAAGTTTTCATGTAAAATATCAGTTTTTTTAATTGTCATATAAATAAAACGATTTGTTAATTACATGTTAATAATATTTATGTATCAKATAGAAAATCTCACCAAATGTGGGTACGTTTTTACTAAAAATCCATGTGAAATAGTATGGACGAATAATACCTTGACATGTTTCATCAATCTATAACCACTTATCATCACGACAATAATCCTTGTCATAAAAAAAAATAAGGAGCATGTTCAAAAATAATATACTGTTTCGTCATTTAGGAATGTTTCAATCTATATATCTATTAAAAGAAGAACCAAGAGTATTAAGATGACATCATGAGAATTGAGTATTGAGGTGTTGATGAATTGTGGTTGAGTTTGAGATATCTCACATTGGTGAAAAATTGAAAGATTGAAATAAGAAGGTGTGTATAAGAAAAAAAAATGATGAGAGTCATTGTTTCAACTCATGAGGCTTGACTCATAAGATTCTCTTATTTTGATGACCTTATCTTTTTTAAAACAAATCTTATAT